AACATTAGAATCGGCTACGTCCCCTGAAATCTGCCGGCAGCCCAGCCATGACCTAAAGCTTCCAAGCACCTGGCAAGGGCCGCACGTTCCCAGAGCCCTCTTCCTCACGTGGCTGGCTTCCAGGGAGCTTGGGAATCATGTCCCCTACTCGAGGGACGGCAGATTCCCAAAGCCTTTCCAGATGTTTATCCTGACAACCTCAAGTTCAAATATTAACAGGTCCAGTTAGCAGCCTGGCCACATCTGGATCTCGCAGATGGTTACTGGTGAGGAGACAAAACAGGAGCGGGTTCTGCGAGTCAATAAGATCGCTCCATCCCTGTCCTACACGCGTGGTGCTGGCTGGCCATCGCCGCCTTGGCTTCGGATGCAGCTTTCCACGCCTTCCCGTCCCATCAGAGATGCTCGCGCGTTGAAGGAACGGCTGGGAGCAGCCAGGAGGCGATGGCCCAACGCGAGGAGCAGCCGCTAGGCACCGCGGTGCAGCCCTTGCGAGCCGGGTCCGGCCGGGCCCCGGGGCTTCAGCTCAGCCCTGCCCAGGGTGGCTTTGGCAGGGCACATCCTCACGGATCAGGGCTGAACTCCCAGCCGTGGGCGGCACCGGGGATCTCGCACACGGCACATTCCCACGTACAGGACAATACCCCGGGGAGCGCTACGCTGACGGCAGTGATATCTTATACATCCTCACCGGAGAAAATCTCAACTCATCTTTCCTCCTCTTCTGTCCCAAGTTTTCAGTCCAGGATCTAATCAGATTCAAACCCCTGCGTCAAGTTTTGCCTCTTGAAATTCTCTACAACGTTGGCTCGAAATCCAGCAGCCCCGCATCCTTAGAAGATGCGTTTTAGGAAGCAGCGAGGAAGCGGCCGTGCGAATTCAAAGGAGACCTTGCGACCTCCGTAACGGCAGTCCCAACGTGAGCCTGGCCTCCCGCTGCGCAGTGCAACCTGCACAGCTCAGCGTTCAACCGTGCCACGGGGCAGAGCGGGGCGAAACTTTAAGGAGCTGGAGGGATGAATCAGTTTGTGTCTGGACCTACAAAGTCCAAGGGCACAAACCAACCCAGTCAACTTCAAGGCTGTATTCCCAGGCTTAAAGTTAGCCATGCACCTAGGTAACTCATTGAGAAATATATATTTTTAAAAGCGTAACCCTGACAGCCAGTCCTGAATTAGTCCATTTCCCGATGCTTTTCATTCTGAAGATTTACACCATTACCGTTATTTTTCTTTACAAACTAGCTCCACTGCACATCCTAGATAAATATAGATGCAGTTCTGATCCATATTTTGCAGGGTATTTCTTTCAAATCACCCTCTCTATTTAGCTATCCTAAATACAGCAGCCTGGAACATTACAGTACTGAAGAGCTACAGAATTACTTGCACAGGGATTCTTGCAATGTTTCTAACCCCAAAATTGCCACTAATGCAGGAACACAATTAGACTGAGCATGTACAGAGCACAACAAGTATCTGCACAACGGTGCATTTGTGTACTAGCGGGGGTTGAGAGCTTCCAAGTAATCGAAGGGATTTATTTTAGGGAAAGGCGTGTGACTACATATTCTGAACAGCTTAGATGAACTCTACCAAAACGGCTCAGCAAAGCAGATGTCGAGGCAACGCGGCAGAGACACGCAAGCTGTGCTTAATGCACGGGCAAAGCGCGCTACGATGCCGTGGGCGGCTTCCGTCCGCCGTGAAAACATCCACAACTCGCTGCCCAGTGAGCAGCTCGCTGCGGTTGCGCACCGGCGGGGAGCTGCTGGTTTGGTTGGGCGAGGAACTGGGATAACCAGTGCCCGGGGAACCGGGAGTCACAGGCGACACAAACCCAGGTCGTTTGGTGTTAACTATTGATACGGACACTCGAGCGCGGCTCCCAAGGGAGGGATCATAGGATCGTTAAGGTTGGAAAGGGCCTCTGAGATCATCGAGCCCAACCGTTAACCCAACTGCCTGGTCCACCTCTAAACCACGTCCCTAAAGTATTAAACCAGTATTAAACCTGGCTGGCTTGAGGCTCGTCTTTGTTAGTCATCTGTTTTGCTACCTCAGTAAAATTGCTAGAGAGGAGTATGGGTGTAGTGCCTAGGAACTCCAGATATCACGGCAGGACCGTACTGGAAGTAAACTGGCGTTTTACCGGTGGGGGCAATGCTCCTGCTGCTCCTCCCTCGCGCCCGCAGCCGGCAAGCCGCTCACGCTGTGAAAATCGGGGTGCAGACACACGTTGACGAGGCGGTTGCACCCCAAGCCCCGCTTCTTGACTGAAGCAGCCCGATGGCTCGGTGCAGGCCACCGTGCCCGTCTGGATGTCACTAGTGGGGACGGGACCAGGTCAGCCCTTCAGAGGGGACAAGAGGGAGCCTCCACCGTGGCGGGCTGGGTACCACGCTGTCCGCCACCCTCCCAGCCCCTCCGGAGCCACCCTTACCTCCGTCAGCGTACGTCTCGGTGCCGTAGCCATCCTGCAGGCCGTTATTCCAGGTGCCTTCATACTTGGCTCCGCTGCTCATGCTCTGCCGGGTGCCGTACCGTCCCTTAAAGCCATGGGTCCACTCGCCTCTGTAAACCCACCGTCCTTTGGTCTCGATTCCTAGCCCGTGCCTCTTGCCTTGGGACCAGTAGCCTTCGTAGGTGTTGCCACTGGGCCACGTGTAGATGCCCACCACTTCGAAGCCGTAGTTCCAGGAGCCCGAGTACTCGCCCTGGCCCTTGGGGCCGGTGCAGATGCCGTGCCCGTGGGCTTTGCCCCCCTCCCAGCCCCCGCAATAGGCACCTCCATCATCGAAATCGAACCTCCC